TTGTTTTGTCGTCGAACCGACGTGGATCGATTGATGGGAAGTGCCAGGATGGTTTCATATCACTTTGGTGTATAGAAGTCAAAGCACCTGTGATTATTAGGCAACATGTATCATCATTAGTTGAACACAGGAGAAACAGAACGCTTAATCAAAAACTGGTTTTGGGTGCCATCAATCGTATCATCTCTGAATTGAGACGTAGATGTGGCCGTTTGCAAAATTCTGGTCGATGGTGACCGCATTCGACGATATGCGGAATTTCAGTGGTACACGCAGTCGAAGTCGACAAGTAGCAGGATCACCTGGGCATGTAGCAGAAACAGCGTACATATCTTTTAATGCCGTTAATCTTCCAGATGCCTGAGAACTTCAATGCATGCGTCGTCACTTGTATCAATCAAGTGTTGAACTAGCTACGTTTAGCTTTTACCTGGGAGTTGAATACGCCACGAAGGGTCGTTAAGCCGCCCAGAAAAGAGCAAACTATTCGTGGCGAATTCGCGTCGAACGTTTTCAATTGTTCCCCCTGAAGCATCGCATAAGAAAATCCATAGGATAGTCGGAGCTAAGTAGTTCAGCATCTACGTAGTTCAGCATCGTCGTCAGAGGGATGCTCAGCTTTCTACTAAGCCAAGCATTTAGAAAACCTTGTCAGGAATTGAATTTTTGACTGTCTGTGCCCCAGGTCCTCCCATGATCTTATTCACTACGAGATTGGCGCTGACTGCTTTAACAGACATCCTTCAACAATATTTATGGCGAACGCCCAATTCCTCCATACCTGGGAGCACGACTTCGACTTCAAAGGAGTTCTGATGCTCTGCTGCACGATAAAGGAATCTATGCGAAGCATCCTTGAGAGCAGATAGGTTATGCTTTTCTTGGAATTGCCCTTGCCCTCTGCGCCCAGAAGTTCCTTGATCTTCGTTGCCTAGTTCTTGCTGCAGCATGTGATGCACAGCAGTACAAGAAGACGTTGGTAAAGATTGAGCCGAAGGCCGTAGGGGCAATTGGCAATCATTGGCACAGTTCGTGCATCGAATTACGAAGGCAAAAGTTCTTCTAGATTGTTGATGTGACGTTTTATCATACCTGGGGGAAAGGAAGACCGCTCACTCTTGATCTGCTCGCATTGCAGAAGGCATAAGACATTATTATATTTTGGATTCAGTCTAAATACTGGTGTACAGTTTCCTCGATGCATAGGGACGAATCGAAAAATGCGCTTCTAAGAGAAACTGGGTAACTCACGCACGCTCCTGGGTATTCTCGTCACACGATACCGCAGAGGCCAGCGGAAGGCACCCTGCAATCCCCGCGGGTTGTGCGTCTTTAGGATGACCACTAAATGCGCCACTCCGACTCTGTGAGCTATTCTGGGGCCCTGTAGCTGAACTAGCTTGATCAACTGCGCCCCCGTTGCGAAACAATGTGGTGGCATTGCTGCTCTGAATACCCTCTCGACGCAGTGTTTCGTTGCAGCTACAGAGATTTTCCTTTCCGTCGTTGCAACACGGTTGAATCGATTGCCCGTCATCACGCTTGCAGTTAATGGGTTGAGACATTGGTGTGAAGTAATCTGGATTGTTGACTGTGCTGTGGGTTTGCAATGAGCCTGTTGAGCAGTGCGAGACGTTGTAACTCCACGACAAAATGTATCCCTCTGCTGCAAGGGAGAGGAAATTGACAGATTGATTACGTTGGCTGACTCCTATTTCTGAGCCAGCAGCCTCATAAGGATCCAACCCTATGTAGTACAGGAGTGCAGTTGGTGCGGAAGCATGTGGCAACTTCACAGAGGCAAATTGAATGATTGCATCTTCCAAGCGTTTCACCCCGAGTGGTTCTGAAGGTGTTTCAGAGTTCCAGCTTAGCTTGGGATGGCACTGCTTCGAGGCGTCTGTTACAGCAGCGGATATGGTTGACTCCGAGACTGGGACTCGTCCAAGGTCACGAAACAGGCTCGCGAGCCCGGCTCCTCTGTGAAACCTTGAAGTCTGGGAAGGCTTTTGCTGATTACTGCACGCGAAGTTCTCTGTCCTCACGTCTTCCGTCCCATGAGTTGTGGCGTTTCGAGCCTCCTGAATCAGTTGCTGGGACACCGGCTCCTGCTTTGATATAAGGGATGAAACCTGCATCCCCAGCAAAATTCGTCGCTCGCTTTCGTACGCTAAACATAATTTGCTTGATCCGATGGATGCCGTCACGAGTATTGGCGCCGGCAGCACACGCAGATTCCTCTGTGCAAACAACACATTCGGATGCTGCTGGAATGACCCCGTGCGGAATTCCTCAACCATGCAACAGCAGCAGATCGTCTTGTTGCAAGAGAGTCTCGATCACTATCGAGCTTGGCAAACGCCTGTCAAACTGCAAAACAATGTTTCAGGAAGTGCAGGTGCAGCCAGCTATCCTCACGGCACGCTTTAACAGCAACGTTCCTCGGACATTTGGGCTAGGGGAGTATCGCGTCT